GCCCACGCAAAGGAGTCGCACGACTGGTGCGCCATGCCCACGAAGTCCCAATCCATCCAGTGCCGCTTAGCCAGCAGCTTAGAGTCGGTCTGGAAGTCGAAGCCCTCGCTCTGCGTGGCATCGCAAACAGCCCTGGGGTCATCGTAACCGAAGTTGAACGTTGCTGCGGCCTCCTTGGCCGCGAGAGCCGTCAGAACGGCCGCACCAAGAGGACCCCTCATGGTGCGTGAGGGTTAGAGGTCGATCGATCAAAACACGGCTGATACCAAGCACAAAGCGTGCTTGTACCCTTCAAACGAAAGACTGATGTTAGGCAAGTACACGACGACGAATGATCATTAACGGCCAGCAATACCCAAAAAGGAGCGATTGGGTTGGTTGCTGAAGTGCATGGTATCTGCTCGGAACCCCGAGCTGTGAAGGCAGGCGGTCGTATTTGTATGCCTCCTCACAAGCGAGCAAGTCATGCAAGGCATCTCTGCGGTGCCCCTGCTTGAGATGGCGGCAGGCCACTCCCAGGCTCGGTGGCTGCCGCGCCACTGCACCGTAGTTTCAAGTGGAAAGGAGTGAGGGCCGCCATGCAGCGGGGCAGGTTCATGCGCATGGTCCCACCGCAATTGCCCCGACGTGCATAGCCTGCGCAAAGCAAGCATGGTCCGATAGATGTAGAGCTTGCATAGGCTTGAAACCGCGCATTCTGAGGCAAGGCGAGGATCGTCGCCAAGAAGACAGGCTCGATGGCTGCTTAGCGCGCAGCTGTCGTCTCCAGAGTGTTCCAAGCGTGTGAGATGGCCTGATGAAACGACCTGAACACCGTGAGCATGGTTGAATCAGCCTTGCAGCCATTGAAGACCCTCGACGGGGCTCGCATTGGGGTCGATTGCCCAATGCTGCCGAGCGTATCGGACCAGGGTCTCTGTCACAACCTCGGAGCGCCATGACCTCGACTGCCTCATCTCAGCAGAGTCGCAGAGGACATGCGCTATGGCCAGACATCCAGAGCCTCGCGTGCGGCACGCACGCCATTCAACCGTCCTGCGAGCCGAAACGAACACCGCGTGCGCTATACATAGCGCCTCGATTCCTCCTGCTCCACAAGGCCTCTAGGACGACGTGGAGCGCAATCGGAGTACGGATCGACGGTATCTCCGCTTGAGGAGCTCAGATGACGCTAATTTCGAGGTGACATCGTGCTGACGGCTGGTCTTGCCGTCTGGATTGATGAGAGTCCGTGGCTGTCAGATGAGGAGATGCCGGGACGGTGACAAGCGCTGTCAACGGAGGCGCGACTGGTGGGCGCTAGCCGTGACTGCAGTCGCCCTTTCTTAGAGGCCCGTGCCGGTGGTAGTCTTGTAGTGCAAGTATAGGCATCGTCGCGTATACTGTACTTGCGGTATGCTGGGCAATCAACGCAGGGAGCTGGCCAGGAACGCCATGTTCGGTATGTCCGATGATCAGGTTGCCTCAGTTGCACGCGAATGGACAGGCCCATGCATGCAACGGCACGCGCGCCTCATGCCACAAGCCCGCGGAATCCCTCCTCTGGGCATCCCTGCGGATACCTCGCGAGGCACGGCATCCAGATCGCAGCATTTCTCGGTGTGATCTGCCGAAACCGCCGACGGTCTGCTTGTCAAGGCTTGCACGCCAGCTGTATGCTCCTGCCAAGCCCGTAGGGCCTAGTGTATGTACCAATGGCGTGAGAGGCCGGCCAGGTCGCTGAAACAGCCGCGGACTAGCGACGAGCAGAAGCAAGCGCAGGCCGGACCGCCCTCTCTGCGCCACGGCAGACGTGTGGGCGAGGTGCGGGCTGGCGGTGTATCGTCATGGCGGGCTTGCTTGTGGCCTCGAGGGTTGTGTCGCGATCACGCACCCGTGACGCGACGCTTGTCGGCTTCCTTGCGCGTGCCTTCACACGCCCCAGGCCTGTCGTCCGCATGCCACCAGGCCCCAGGCCCACAGGCGCCCGCCCGCGTGCTGCGCGGGACTGCCGCGCATGTGCAGTGCTGGTGTAGAACATGGCACAGAGCCTGCTCGATCAACCTGAAACAAGCTCGAGATGCACCTGCAGCACTACCAGCACGGACCACCAAGGGACGAGCCCCGCAGTCCGATCTGGATCACGGCCGACCGCCTCCACGAGCCGCGCCATGAGCGCTGAGTCGCAGCTGGGATGCTCCCTTGCAGAAGCCGGGCCGCCATTGGCGTCGCCGACGCTGCTTCTCCTCAGCTATCAGCTCTGCATAAGCGTGGCAGGAGCTATTGGGGGCATCACTATCAGAAGCAACAGACGTGCTCCAAGACATGGCTGCTTCGGGGGGGTTGCGCAGAAATCGCCAGGTGTGAGAGCATTCCGACCGCGAGGAGTGAGGTTGCTGATGAGTCCCGGACGAAGCAATCACCCTGCCAGAGCTAGATTGGCACTGCAGTCCCCGTGCCATCATTTACAAGCCGCGTATGCCCCGTGGCAGCGTCCAGGCCAGCCTGCTGTCGCCTCAGATCAATCGCACGCGAATGGCTTGGACCACGGCGTATTGCACCATCGTTTCCCCCCCCTCCCAGTATATGCAACGAGTGAGGGCTGGTGATGGAGGTTACATGGATGCAATGAGAGAGCGTCCTGCTCTCGGGGAGGTCGCCAGCTGGCACTGGTGAATGGACTTGCGTCAGAGTGTCAGGTGTAGACAGGCCGCAGCATTGAACCCGAGGCCCCAGAACTCAGGGGCAGGATGTAGGCGCTACAGCCTACCGGTAGTTCACCTCCTTGAGCTTTGGCATATGCCAGTCCCTACGCTTGAGTCCTGGGGCACGTGCACGCCGTCTACTACTCCAGGTCCAATGGACGATATGATTGCAATCAGACTGGCTCGTGGTGCGACAAATCAGTAGCTCAATGACCCAATCTTGACCGAATGGCGACTTTGCGGGCCCTTCGAGAATGAAGGAAGGTCTGAAGTCGGTGGACAGCAAGTTTGATGGGCGGCTGTCTAGGGTTCAGGTGACTCGCCGCGTCCACGGACGGAATGCCTCTGTGGCGATCAGGGGCACAGCGACGATTGCCGGCTTTGCAGCGCCGGGTCAGGGGTTCAGCAAGCCGGTTGAATTTCACCCACACCGCACTGTGGTAGGAGATCCCTAGGGCAGTGCCCGGCCGCCACAAGTCACATCCGCCGCAGCGGTGCCAGATGCCATGTGCTATGGCCATCCGGATGGCATGCAACATCACATAGAGCACCTCATGTTTCACAGCGGCCTTTCGAATGGCTGAAAGTGTGGTCAACCTGGCTCATGGCTTTGCTGCAACCACTCCATGAATTTTCCTATATCAGTCTCAAGCATCTGCAGTTGCCGCAGTGGCCAGCTGCAAGGGCATCACCCCAGCCAGCCCTGAGCACGCACATGTTACCATCTCAGACAGCAGCTTGAGTGCAGGCTCACAGCAGCTGGGCTACCTGCTGGTACAAGGCCTCAACACCCACACAACCACACCATCAGATTGCAGCCTGCAGACACTGCAGCATGAGGAGGAAACCCCGCTGACGCCAGCAGCGGCGATAACTGGAACGGCGGGTACGGACAGTTGGAGGCAGCAATGCCCTGCTATTGAAACAGTCTGAAAGAAGCTGCAATCCATACTGTGCCAGGAGAACAGTCCACACCGTACGCCAGGCGAGCGCCGGTGCGCGCTGGGCCGAGCAGGCCGTCATCCATCGTTCCTCCAGCCACCGTGCGGCGCAGGATCGCCGCGTTGGTGTATGGCTGTTACAGTGCGCTGCAAAAGGCAGCACGGTACTGGGAGCACTACGCGTAGCTGTTCTGCACTGAGAGCGCAGAGGAAGTGCCGTGACTTTGGCGCATGCGCCCAATGGTGAGCGCGCAGTCTTGATGCGAGCAGTGCCCAGCAGATCAATACGAGCCTGGTGAGCGGGCCGAGGACGAGGCCACCTGACATTGCAACGTCCCATCGAAATCCACTTGGATCACACTTGGAGGGAGCTTGAGTGGTGATGAACGGAAGACGAGCAGGTCATCACTGCCCCCTCTGAGCGCAGGAAGCAGGGCGGCTCACGTCGCGAGTGGAGTGGGAGGCCGGCGGGTCTGGACTGCCGCTGATGGTCTAGGAGGTACACGTGGATGCAGACTTCAAGAAGCTCTGACAAACACCGACAGGGCGGTAGTGCTGACAGCGGCGTCGCACTCAGCGACTGCTTGCACTCGCTCACTTCCTGCTGTCCACCACTGCTCCAACCGCGTAGCCATGGCGAGCATCAAGCCACCCTTCGACCAAGAGTCCGCCCAGCGCAAGGTCAAAGCCGCGCAAGACCTGTGGAACACGAGGTAAGTCTGCGCTAGCCGTGCCGCTGCTTCGACCTCTACTGCCCCGCATCGTGAGACGAGAGATGAAGCGCTGCAAGGTCCGTCCCTGACCTTGTCGTTGTGATTGTCGGCATTGTCGTCCCAGAGACCCAAAAGCAGTGTCCCAGGCGTACACGCCCACCTGCCAATGGCGCAACCGCACGACCTTCCTCCGCGGCACGCAGGAGATCGAGCATTTCCTGGCGGACAAGTGGGCGCGGGAGCAGAACTACCGCCTGCGCAAGGAGCTCTTCGCCTACGCGGACAACAGGATCGCGGCCCAGTTCTGGTATGAGTACCAGGACACGCGCGACGGCATGCGGTGGAAGCGCTGCTACGGGCTGGAGCACTGGACGTTCGACGCGCAGACGGGCAAGATGTGCGAGCGCATGATGAGCGGCAATGACCTGCTGATCGGCGAGGACGGAGACGGGCAGGGCCGGTGGTTCCGTGACGGACGAGATGTCGATGAGGGGCCGATCCCTCCACTGCCTTAATTGAATCAGTGATAGCCTGTCGACATCTACTCGCTTCAACAGCTGCTCTCAGTGTCGCAATGGGCTGAGCTGATACTACAGATGCTGGTGATCTCGGCGAAACTGCTGACCGTCATAATTTGAGCGCTACGATCAATTGGACGCACTGGCAAGATGGCCGAGCGGTCGAAGGCGCTGCACTCAAGTACTCTGACTTGTTCCTGAACCACAGGATCGGAATTGCAGTCTCGAAAGGGGCGTGGGTTCGAATCCCACTCTTGTCATTTTGCTCCTCCTCTGTTTTTGCCCCTGCCAGTGGAGCACATCTACGCTTGCTCTTGAGTTCACGGCACGTTGTAGAGACGGATGCGCCTGACAGCTGCCAGCTGCCAGCTGCTAGCTGCCAGTCGCAACGAGGCCTGGCAATGCCCGTAGGCAGGGCGGGCACAGCCGGGCATCAAGAACCCTCGTATGTCCAGCTGAGCCAAGAGAGAGCGGCATGTCTGTTGCCTCTCGACCGCCCTTCTGTCCGTCTGTAGCAGTGGCTAGCCAGCGCGTCAAGCCTCCTTGCATGCACGGACCAACGCAAGCCTGGTCTGGTCGGGCGTGACCTGTGCGCCATCGCAGTGACAAATGCACCGCTGCAGGATCAGTCTTGACGGAGGTGCGGCGCCCGTCTCAACGGCCTGACCATCGCTCGCCCATTCTCCCCAGCACAGCAGAGGTGCCGCCTGCCTGTGCAGGCCAGGTCAGGCCAGGCCATCCTGACAGCTGCTGGGCGCGACATGACTCATGGCGACGGCTGGCGCTGCGAGCAAGCGCTGAGGCACATGTCTCCGCCGACGGCAGGATTTCCCCGCGAGCGAGCTGAACGGCGAGGAAGGCGGGGCGGAGAAGGAGATGGCACCGAGAGCGCAAGACTCATAGCCACACCCTTGCTGCAACGATTCTTCCAGAGGAGTCACGCCGCATCCTGCAGCTGGCGCCAATGGCGGCCGTCGCCCAGTCACGCTGTCACGAGGCGGCTGCCCTGGGCCCATCGCGGGCCTAGATGGCCGTCGGTGCCGCCATCGATGCGCGGGGTCTGTCCCTGGCTGACAAGGTAGCGGTGGTGTTTGGCTGGATCTGCTGCGCCGCTGCACGCGCCCTCCCTCTCGAACCAGCACGCTGATCAAAACGTCGGCACCACCGCTCCGTTCGGTTTTCACTGATAACGATGGCGCCTTGCCGTCGACACGGTCGCGCTGGCTGGCGGCGGCATAGCGGTGACTCGCATCAATGCCTGCAGTGCTTGCACGCGATCTCGGACCTGGGCAGCGGAGACTAGCAACCGTGAGTTGCTCGCAGCATCAACGTTCCGCGCGGCGCTGACGCCAGAGTTCAGCTAGCTCAGCAGTAGCTAGCTACAGTACATACATACATAGCTGGCTGCTAGCCACTGCCCACTGCCACGGCGAGCAGGCCTCGTTGCATCGCGAAAAACACTGTGGGTGGGCGGTTTTGACTCCCCAGCTCTGGCCACGGTCCCGATCACGGGCCTCGTCAGCGTCGAGCATCAAAATACGCCGACGGCCAGCCAGGTGGCTGTCTGCAACTTTGCCACCCTCGTGTCATCCTACAGGTTGCACGCGTACAAGGTGTGCCTCGTGGGTGTCCTCCATATCCTGTCCAGCTTCAGGCTGCCGCTGCCATCACTCCAGATCTGCGACGAGCGAGTACCGGCCCGTCGACTCGACGAGCTTGAGGCCTTGTGAGCTCGAGCTTGAGATCTCAAGCCTGGCAGCCGAGTCATCGCCAACGCCACTGCCAGCGCGGCGCCGTCACCGAAATGCCTACGGAAAATATCTTTGCGAGCGTGGACCGCGATGTCAACCCTTTCAGTCGCGCGAATACTGCGCGCAAGGGTCTGAAGATCGACATCAAGTTGGAGGACGAGAAGTCGGTCAACTCCTACACGACACTTGATGCCATCAAAGGAGCCGTGCTCATCACAGCCGACACGAAAAGCACCGTGGACGGCGTGCTGATTTCGTTCGAAGGTGCGCATCACATGGAGCCACGAGGGTGTCACCGTCACTATCAGGTGACCCACTGCTGCTGCACTGCCGCGACTGTATGTGGCTTTACTGACGACTTGCTGCAGGCTCCTCGCGCACCTCCATCGAGCAACCAAGCGTCGTCGTCCCATCAGTCGGGCGTTCGACGGCGTTCCACACTTTCCTCCGTCTCGTGCAACCCATCAAGAAGTCGCAGTTCCCCGAGCACGGCGTCTTCCAGCGCGATGAGACGTACACCTTCCCCTTCACCTTCGTGGTGCCCGAGCATCTGCTCCCTCAGGCCTGTGCGCACGAGCACAGCAATGCGAGAGTCCACGACGCGCATACGCGGTTGCCGCCTTCACTGGGCGATCCGATCGTGTCTGGCAATGGCCGCACGCTGCTGAACGACCTGTCCCCCGACACCTGCCACATCCAGTACGTCGTCAGGGTGCAGTTGCTCAGGAATGCCGACAAGGGTGACCGGCAGGCTTGGGTGTACCACAACGGCCTGCACAACCGGCCCGTCCGTGTGATCGCCACTGCGAACAAGCGCATCCGCGTCGTGCCTGCCACGGACGAGGAGCCGCCGCTCATGGCCGAGACACTGGCCGAGACCGAGTACTGCCTACAGAGGGAGAAGGAGATCAAGAAGGGGGCCCTGAGGGGCCGTTCGGGCCATCTGGTGATGGCAGCTGCGCAGCCCCGGGCCTTCAAGATCAAGGGCATCATCAAGGGCGAGACACCGCCGACTACGGTCGTCACCGTCCATCTACGCTTCGATCCGGCGGAGGCGAAGCAACGGCCACCGAAACTGGGCATGCTGTACGCTCGCCTCAAGGCGAACACGTTCTATTCGGCGATTCCCTGGTCAGGCTTTCCTGAGAAGACGTTCGCCCTGCGATGGGACACCAAGCGGGGCGTCCACACGGAGACCGTGCCACTGACATCAATGCGTGTTGCGAATGCCGAGTGGAAAGTGCACGAGGCAACGGTCCCCGCCTCCCGCTTTTCAACCCGCCATAACACCGACGCCAACATGGTTCGCCCCTCCATGAGGAGGTCCTACTCCGCTGGCTCAGCCCTCTCAAGCGAGACAGAGACGAGCTCCATCGACTCGGACACCATGGAGTCGTTAGTGCGCTCAGGCGTGCCCAGCCCCTCAACGAAAGCAGACCCAAGCCTGCCATACTACACTGCCTCAATCGTCGTGCCCCTTGTCATTTCAGAGAAGACGAAGACCTTTCTGCCGACGTTCCACTCGTGCTTGACGTCCCGCACTTACGTCCTCGACATCGGCCTATCATACCATCCGGTCAGCAAGACAAGCACCACCATTCTCAACGCGCCTAGCATCTCAATCAAGGTCCCCGTCCAGATCACGACCGAGAAGTCCCTGAGCGACCTGTCCGAGACGAGCGCTCGGGACCGCGAAGCAGTCAGACAGAGCAGAGCTGCCGCACGCGAGGCTCGTCGCCAACGCCTCGTCACGCGTGGTGCCGAGTTCGCCGACGTCGGGCCCGCAGAGAGCAGTGACACTGACGTGTTCTTCGTCCCTCGGCCCGTCGGACCGATGGCTTGCGCCACGCAGCCACAGTCGAACGCCTACGTGCCCGCGCTTGCCCGGGCGCCTTCGTCAACGGCTTTGGCAGCGGCAGGCTCGGCAGTGACACCGCTTCGGACTACCAGCCTCACTGGCCCTGTGCCACCCCGAGGCCCGCGCCCCACTGCCGCTGATGACCCCATGTCACCACTGGCTGATACCACCCCGTGCTTCGACCCCACCACGCCGTTTAACCCGACCGCCTCGCTGCACACTCGCCGAGACCGTGGCAACACCGTCTCGTCAACCCTCTCTGTCTATTCCAACCACTCAGACGTCTCTCAGCACTCCAATGCATCAACACTACCGCCCGAGTACAGCAACCGTCCCGATGCACTAATTCGACGCATGCTCAGCCAGCGCCTGCCTTCTGGCGGACGCTCTGCCTAATCCCTCGCACCAGTCCCCTTCCCTAACAATTGCTCCACATGCTCTCTTTACGCCTATTCTCGCCCCTTATGCACCCTGCCGCTGCTCGCGCGTCCTGCATACACTGCTTGCTCTCGAAGATACCCCCTTGCCACTCGCTGATTCTGAGCGTCGCCGCATACCACTGTTCAGATACCCCAAGATCCCGCGCAAGCATCTTCGCCATTAATGATAGATCGCCTCGTGTACTGATGTGCCAAGATGAGCCTTCCTATCATCGTGATGATCCAGCGCGCTGCATGAAGTGTGATTGTTGACAGCTTGCGCTCCTGCGCGATGCTGGTACACATCAAGAACCGACGGTAGAGAATGTGACCCCTCAACCTTGCTGCGCATTGCGATGTGGTCGTCGTGCCTTCCTCGTCTCAAGCCAGCTTGTATCTATGGTATGCTGAGCGGACAGCAGCGCTTCATGATGGACAGAGTTTCCAGGGATCAGCACCCAGTGTAGCACGGACGGTGATGGGCGGTCTGCCAGCGGGCATACAGACGGCTCGCGAGGACAGCAAATGCGACACGCCTGTTTCAGTGGGGAGTTGACCCATGACAGCAATGCCGCCCTTTCGTGGCTTCTGAGCACCGGGCTGATCGATGGCTTGCAAGCACTGTCAACCTGTCATCCGCGCCTGGCGACTATGATGCACGCGCCGCTGACGGATAGGAAGGGGAGCGCATATATCAGACGGCCATTGCCTGACTTGTTGCAGCCCCCCTGAGGCGACATTGGCGAGAATTGCAGCGGGTGCTCGACTCACAGGACAAGCCAGAGTCTGAGAAGGTTGCACGGGCGCGAATTGGCGAATGACCCGTCAAGCAATATGCTGCTCTCAGTTCAGCACCGTCTGCTGATCATCATTGCGCTCGCGGCGCTCTTCGTGGCTGCGGAGATCGCAGTCGGGTTCCGAACGCATTCGCTCGCAGTCGTTGCTGACGCCTTCCACTACTTCGGAGATCTGGTGACATTCGTGGTGTCCTATGCCGTTGAGCGTGTAAGTCGAGTGGCCTGCCCCTTCTGCAGTCCTCGGATCGTGGCGAGACGCTGCTCGGCTGGTTGGACGAGCGCAAGACAGACACGCTGACGCAGTACTGCATCCATGCTCCGCAGATCAAGTCCAAAGGCCGGGTGCCGCGAGCACGAGATAAGGAAGCCAGTGCAGACGGAGACGAAGTTCTGACGGTGCGGCACCTGGCCTGCATCGACGCGCTAGCTGGGTTC